CCCCAAAACCCCAAAACCCCATCAATATAAAAATAATGAACGAGATTGGTGAGATATTGTTTAATTAGAATATCAACTTGATAAAGTAAATCAGATATATTGAAATTAGCCTAAGATTAATCAATTAGTAATATTTAGTTGGATCTACTAATTTCAAAGTTTTCAAAATCAAAGCAATTAATAAAGAAATCCAGGTATAACACCTCCACTAATAGTAGAGAAGCTTTGATCTTCTTCATAATTTTGCAATTTAAAAATGCCCATATCTGGATTTTAAATCCTGTCATAATCTAAGCCTTAATCAGAGTAAAATGTCTAAGCCATTGAAGTTTGTTGCTAATAGCAAAAAGTTTAGCCTTTCTCAACTTTGATTCCTTTGGGAAATGTCTTGAATATATATTTGAAGAAATGCAATTCATTGATATCAGTTGACGAGTATTAAACTTCTTCTTTTATTAATTCGCTCTAGTAAATATCATCCCCATATTAATCAATGAGTTAATAGCGATATGACAGAGTGAATGGCTCAGTTCAAACTTTATCAGACTACTCAAATATTCCTACCCCTTTAAAAACTAAACTCCTATGGCACAATAGTTTTATTCCATCCATCACACCATAGTATTCCCATCCTCCCTCTGGAGAACATGTTTCGAATCTTTGAAAGAATCTAGTTAGATCACCATCAAGATTTTTATCAGTTCTTACTCCATGCATGACAATTTTTTAATTGCTGTAAATCTACTCTTAAATGAAGGTATTGCCTAATTCTAATTCTTTTTCGAATAAAAATCCTGATAATTTGCTTAGGTAAAGCTTTTTCATTGGATGAATGAGTGATTTGATTGGATCTTTGATGTTAACTTTATGCTTTTATGTAGTAACCTAATTATCAATGATACATACTGTATCTAACTAGATCTAAAAGTCTAATTCATTTGCTTTGATAGTAACTTTCTTTGGCTCTTCATTCTTTAATTATTAATCTATCTTTTGGTCAGTTGTATTGAAAACTATACATTCCCATGTATTTGGCAATTCAGATTAATCAAAATTTGGGCCCATATCTATTTTAGCCTAAACATTATTGTCTCTTTCTAATATCACATAGCCATGCTTTATATGATACGCTGTTTGATTTTTCTCCAAATTTTATGATTGAATCTTTTTTCTTTAAATCTGTGTCTAAATATTGACTTTTGATTCTATATCTAATCCTTTATCATGAAGGCATCGATGCAAAGAAAGAAAATTCCCGTTTTCCAATTCTTTCCAAAAACATACGTCTCTTTCAATACTTATTTCAGGCTCTATAGAAATTACCTTGCTTTAGATTTTTATTTTTTCCATTGTAAAATAAAGATTCTCTAGTAAATTAAAATAACTGACAAATATCTCTTTTCTATATTAAAAGCTATTAATAATTGTCAATTTCTTCATAATTTCAGCTCTTAGGGGTTTTGGGGTTTTGGGGTTTTGGGG